TTTTCTTTTCTTTTCCCCATCCTTCTCCTTTTTCCTTTTTCTTCTCTTCCTTTAAGGGGAATCTTTAGGGGAAGGAATGGGGAGTGTCCTTCACAAAGATCTCAAGGGTACAGGGAGGCCCTGATTTCAGGCTCACTGCAGGTGTAGAGCTATGAGTGGGTTATGTCTGTGTGTCTCCATGTCTCTTTCTCAGGCTGCAGCTGGGCTTCCTTCACTTAAAAATGCAGAAGAAGAGCTCTCTTCCTCCTTGCAGGCCAATTTGGCAGAGTTACAYGGGGCTTCCAGTTAAAAATGGGACACGAGGTTCAAGGAAGGTCTCTAGTTGCTCAGTAGAAATGGAACTGAGCTGCTTGTGGGTTTTCACCAGCACCCAATTCCTCGTGTTTAGCACAGCAATCACAACACATGCACATGCTCCCAAGTGCTTCTCTCTGCCCCATTCTGCTATTCTTAAGCCTTTYGGGTTTATTTCTGTAGAAGCGCTTTCTTTTTCTGTGTGATACTTTTGCTTTTCCCTCTTAATTAAAGCATTTGTCTCCACAGCAGGAAACATAAACTATGTGGSAGACAATTTTGATATATATTTTAAAGGAGGAAAAATTATTTAGCAGAGCAATTATCTTCAGATRCACACAGAAAGCATCACTAGCACTGTCCCCAGAAACCAGCAAAATGGGGAACAAAAGGGATACAYGGGAAGCTGCTCATTTAGAAGCTAGAAATAAGTGATGATTATGTTTTTAATTCCATGCCTAGAAATGAAGGGCTAGATTTTTTGGCATAGAAGAAGTCATTCCTTTTTTAAATMTAAAAGCAGGCGCTTTTCCCTAAAAAACAGCAAGTACCGGGAATAGCTAAAGTCTTTTGAAAATCTGCGGCTGAGTATTATCTGTGGAGAAAAGCTGGCTGCTAAGCAGTGGTGAATATCTACTTTTGTCAAAGTTTAATTGGGATCTGATGGCTGCTGCAAATGTGGTCAGGACTGTGAGTGCTGACTGTATCTTGGGTTTGGACATTAATTCCTASTGCTGTCCTATATGTTTCCTTGGCTGTGCAAGTGATCTGGAGGGACAGAAGCCCATTTATTTCTATGCCTCAGTTTCCCCATTTGCAAACTGCAGATTATCACAATTCTTTTCCTCACAAACAGGCTACAAAGCTGAACTCATTGGCACAGAGCAGCTGCTATGAGTCACTGCAGCAGGCCAAGAATAACTTAAAAATACCTAAAGATATGAGCCTTTTTCTGTTCTTCAGAGAGCAATTGATTAGCTGAGCTAGACTGGGATTTTTTGTCCATCAGACAGTGCAAACTTGGGGAAAAAAGTGGCCTAGAAAATGAGATTGTGTTCCCTCTGATTCTCCTTCTTTCTCCCTACACTACTCCTCTCCTTCCCTTGCTTCTCCCACCAAAAAAAAATAAAGGAAAATCAGCTCTAAATATTGGGTTTTTTTTTTTCACATCAGCCCAGCAGGAGAGGCAGAAACCAAATTACAACCACTGAGATAACCACCTGCACTCAGTACCAGGARGGTAGGTAGAGACAGCAGAATATTTTGCTTAAGGTTTCGAAAARAAAATCTATCTTTATTAAAATAAACAAATGTGAAAGAAGAAAAAGAAAGAAAATCAATCAGCTCGATTTAAAACAGGAAGAAACCAAACAAAGAGTATTCCATCCAGAAATGGASGAGAGCTGCACAAACCAAAACCCATCAGTTCTTCTCTTCTTTCGGAAAAGTCTTTTTTACTTTTTTTCTTTTGTTTTTACTTCCTCTCTTAATTCTGTACATTTTCTTCCAGGTATAATTTTTGCTAATTATGGAAAATGACTAAAGTGAACTTTTTTTTTTTTCCTATGGGGATGACAGGAGGAGGATAAGCAAAATCCATCTAACCTATGCCAACTAAAAGATTCAAGGGGACTGTGTTCTGCCAGATCTGGCAGTATTTGGAGCAGAACTTGATGCTTTTATCCCTCTTTAGTAGTTTTCTAAAAAGATTAAATAAATGCAAATAAACAAATATTTCTGGGGAGACTTTCATTCCTGCTGTATAGATTATCCTAGGAAACAAACAAACAAAAAAAAAGGCCTGTGTGTTTCAGGTTTTGTATTTGTCTCTGTGGTTCTCCTCAGTCTTCAGCCAGAGGATCAGTAGCTTCAGGAACTAGCAGACTGACAGATTCATTCGCTCTCTCCCAAAACCCAGTTACTGCCAGCATGATATTATCATGCAAGACCTGCACCAGAGGTTCCTGCCGACTGGTGTGGATTTGAAAACTGTCTCTCTGCCCGCAGAAGCTCAGGAGGAAAGCCAGATAGAGCCGCAGCAGCAGGGTCTGAGCGAGGGCAGCTTTCCTAAGTGGCCCAAGGTTGATGCACTTGATGCCTTTGGATACTACTGCTGAAATGAGCCCGGGAGCTGCACTGCCACCTGGCCCAGCATAGCATGGTCTGAGCCCAGCAAACCCTGCATGCAGCCACAAGGAGCCACAGCGCAAAGCATCTACCATGCATTTTGGAAGAAAGCAGCTCAGGGAGCCTGGCAGACCCTGGTCCGTGCAGTGCGAGATGGTGCAGTGGCACCACTGGTTCCTCCCTTCCCAAGGGGATCGAGTGCTCCAGGGGCTCGTGCTCCAGGCTCTGCCCTAAGTGGGTCTCGGGCATCAGGGCCACTCACCTGCCTGCCTTCCACACCTTGCCCCTGGAAAGCCACTGTGCCCGCAGCAGCTTCGCCTCCATGCAAGGGTTAAAAGTCCAACTGAGCCGCAGAGGAAGCGCAGCCGGTTTGCGCTCCTGCAGTGCCATCGTGTGCTTTTGACATGCATTGCAAATGCTCCAGTCTGCCAAAACTTGCAGGGGCCAGTAAGGCAGTAAGGAAGTAAGGCCAGTAAGGGAGTAAGGAAGTGCCCAGATAAACCCAAYGACCCTGCATGTCCCTGGACAATGCCCACACCAGCTCCTGGCAATGACAGTCCTGCCTGCCCAGGAGGAGGCCGCAGGTGAAAAATGCTGGCTTATCCACATGCAACATGCACTGAGATTTGGTCACAGGGAGTCCTGTGCTGTGGTGTTTTCTAGAGTACAAACAAATGACTGCTCCATRCTTTGCAGAAAAGTTGGCTCAATGACTTTATTATAACTCAAAACTGTGAAACCAAGAGGTGGCACAGCCAGCACAGCATTACTTTAGGTTGCCATTGTCTAAGGAAACCTTTTTTTCCTGAAGGAATGTAATCAAAACGTCACCTAATCACCTATTTAATCAAAAGGTGGGTAAAGATGTTGCTAGAGGATCCACAGACACATTTACAGGCTAGTTGCAGGGAGCACTCCAGCAAGGTGGGCACCCAACCTGAAACRAGACCCCTTCCCTTGCTGCCACCCCTCTGATGCCTCGCTACATGCATGCAGCAGCAGGCACACACTGACATGGACTTCACTGTCCTCATGCCAGTGTTGCGTTACCTTTCGGTGGCTCTGCATAACACCTACAGATGATTCCATGGGACCGGGGAAAGTATGAGACAAGCAGGGCACATTCCTTTCCAAAGAAGCTTCTGAGCCAGGRTGCAGCATGAAACCATGGCTGAAGACAGAGACATCATGTTTTAGCAGGCTCAACACCGTTCAACACACAGGAGGGAAACTAGCTCCACGTTTCATCAAAGGCTGGTGAGATCTCAGATGGGCTAGTTCAGGCTTCCAGGAAGGATCAGCTCCAAAGCAATCCATCTCTGACCACAAAGCCAGCTGGGTGCTAGCTCAGCTGTCCCTCATCTCCTCTCACACAAAGGGTTTTTCTTGCCAGCTGCAAGCAAAAGAAGTCCTATTTCCACGTACATCTGCACTGCCAGGCAGGCCAGCCAGGCGCTGCTGCCACTGAAACAGCTCAAGTCGCTCAAGCAAACAGGGGACACAGACAGCCTAGTCCCCCCTTAAAGGAGCCATACAGTGGAAAATGGAGATTTTGCCCTACGCTGCCCTCTATTTTGCCTGAAAAATTCCTCATCATGGAAATTTCCCAGCAGGCCCCTCTCTCTGCTTAATAAGCCCTGCTCCAGCGTGGCAGGTCCTCAGCTCCTGTCAGCAGGCACCGTGCCACRTTGTTAAGCAAGTCCATGGGAGAGAGCGCTCATTAACAACACCAGCAAACGGCGTCACAAAGCCTTGACAGCACCTACGGTGACAGCTGCAAAGTGCCCCGATAAGTGACGGCGGCAGCGACTGGCACGCGTGGCACGGTCTCCAGGCTGCCCCAGGGGAGCACGGAGCCAGGAATGGGGACATCCAGCAGCAGGGCTGTGAAAGGAGCGGCCTCCTGTGCCTTGCACGGCGTGGGACGGCAGGGTGCTGAGAGGTGAGGGCATCGCCGCGCTTCCTTGGCCTGTGCACATCTGGCGCCCCAGTGGGAAAAGGCACCTCACAGTGCTGCAGTTTCTTCGCTCTGGAGCCAGACTGATTTCACCTGTTCCATGCTTTATTTGTGGGTCTGGCCTCACCACGGTGCTAGCGCTGCACACTTCCCCCGTTCCCAGTCCTGTCGTCCTCTCCAGGGCATGACTCCAAATAAAACCCTCCCTCGGCCCTCATGTTTTCTGCCATTGCTGCGCTTACAGYTTCCTGAGCCCAGAGTTTTGGCGATTCCTTCAGCCCTCCAATGCTCCAGCTGCTTTCTTCCAAAGAAGACAGGCGAGCAGCCCCTGGAGCCTCAGCAACCCCGAGCTGCTCTGCAAGGCAAAAACAAGCTATCAAGGTGCAGACCCACAACCAGGGGATCCACGCACCCCTACAGCAGGGAGGACTGAGCTCCGCTCCCCCTGCCGCACCCTGAGCTCAGGCCCTTCCCATTCCCCCACCTTCACTTCCCTCTGGGTCCTTGCACAGGGACATCCCAGGGAAGGATGTGCCCGTGCGCGCCGTCTCAGGCCTGCCAGGAGGACTAGGAAAAAAAGCCTTAAAGCTTTGGGTTTAAAAGCAATTTTAAAAGCTCCATTGTGTGTGTGTGTGCTCCAAAACGACCCCCCCACCACGTGTCTCTCCTCACAGCAGCAGCTGCAGTCTCCAGGCCAGGGACCTGCGAGGTGCGGAGTCCCCCCGGGCCTCACAGTGGTGCTGCCCGGGGAGCAGCAGCCCCGTCCTCCCTCTTCCTTCCCCCTCTGGAAGCCATGGGCCAGGCTTGGCCCCAGATCCATGCCCGAGGCCCGTGCGAGTCCCAAGCAGCGCCTCTAGGCCAGGGCTGCTCCTAGGTGTCCCCAAGAGTCAGAGCAAGCGGACACAAATGCCGGGGCCACCATGTTGTCCTCCCCTCRTGCCCCAACAGGTCGTCCCCACCTGGCACCTACCTCCAACACGACACAAAACCTGCCTGGAGCTCCCTGACAGGGCAGCTCTTGCAGCCTGGCCCGGCCCTGGGCAGCCACTGCCACCTGCTGCCACCACCACCACAGGGACGCTTGTCAGCTCCCTTCCGCTAACATGGTGGCCCTTCCTTTCCTCGCTCTCAGGGACACTAGTGAGGAGCAGGCCACCACTTATGAGGCCTTGGCCACCTCTGGTGGTTACACACCCATACATGAAAAATCTTGATTCTTTTTACATGTATTCTGTTCCTTTTTTAAATCTTTCCAAGTATCTTCTCCACAGTCATAACAGCTAGAGACTCAGATGTCCTTCAAAATCAGTGGCTTGCAATTTCACATGATTCCTGGAGCCGGTGGCTTTCAAACAACACCAGACATCTCCCTGAAATCCCTGGAGATGACAACAGCAAGCCATTGGRGAGGGCTGGGGAGGGAATGGGCTTTTCTGGGAATCTGCTGTTCCAGGTCAGGAATCTGCAGCAGCCTCAGTGGGGCTTTCCTGGGGTAATTCATATTCATGGCAACTGGAGAAAAAGCAGAGGGATAAGGTAGGATGACAGGGAGGAACCTGGAGGAAAAAGTGTTCCCTAGGAAAAATTCAACTAGAAATCCTCTTCTGACAAAGCTTTTCCACTGAAATAATAACATTCTTTAGCAAACTAACAGAGAACCAAACTATTAAAAACTAGAATAAATAGTTTTGGAAATGCCACTGCCCCATTGCCTTATATTCCTTCTTTCCTTCAACAATAAAAATCTGTAGCTGGACTACTACTCACTGCACTACATGGCTGTGTTTCGTCATGATCAGTTATTACTTTTTAATGAAAAAAAAAAAAAAAGACATTTGGGAGAAAGCAGGTTCTTTTCAATCAAATCATAAAACCAAGAATCTKCCTGAACCCGATTCTGACAAGAATTTCTATTTAGAGGAAATTTATGCCAGTGCAAATGGATATAAAAACTTTAATTAGAGTAGAATCACAATATTTTACATTCCTTTTATAGTGGTCTACATGGCAGCAAAACCGTCATCGAAATTAAGGGCATTCCTACATTTTCATTTCTTCCTTTACTGATATTCTATACCTTTCCTAGTCCACTCTATCTGGAGGAAGGTTTCTAGYTAGGCATACCTGGCAAGGAGTTAAGGTAGGAGGTACACTGCAGATCAGCCCTCTACTTGGACTTTGGGTGATGAGGAAGAAAGGAAAGCAGTCTATTCAACCTCATGCTCTTTTGATAAAGTTTTATAGAAAAGGTGCTGTGATAGAGAGGGCAACGTTCCTAACATTCAGCATTCCTCTAACATTTTCCTTCTATATTTGAAAGCCAAAAACTTAGAACCAACTACTCTCTTAGTCCCTTCTGTACTTAAACATATGTTTAATTTGAAATCTCGTTGACAACAGTAGGATGCAAGTATTTTTTTGCTTAGATGCTCTCTTGTTGTGGGTGTCTAGCTACCGATCAGCCCTGTCCCTCTTCCAGCCCCCGCTTTGAGTCACACTTCCCAATTTTTGCTGGTGTTGTAGTCTATTTTAATAGACTGGAAAGAGAAGCCTCTTTAGACTCTTAGTGGCAATCAGTTACAGCCTAGCTTGGAATTGCAGGATTGCTGCCTTTCTGCATTACATCTGCATATCCCCCAAAAAACCCTGCTCTCCAGTTGCACAGTGGGAATAGGCTGGCTTCCAAGTGCTCCCCGTGCTCAAAAGGTRCCAGGCAGCCCTGTGCCTGCTCAGCATCCAGCATTGCTATAAGGGCCAAGTCTACACAGTGTTTTGGTGCAGAGGCAGAGGAAAACATGGCTTTGATTAGAGATAAGCAAGATGTTTTCCATTCAACACTTTAAAAAAGATATTAGGATCAATGCAGCAACTTTTCTTTAAACACCATCAGCAGAAGACAGAGATCCAGAGTTARGAGGAAAACAAGCTGACCGACATGAGAATACAGGCCTTTGATTTCATCTTATTCCTGGGCCAAAACAACCAGCCCCTAGGAGCATGGTACACACAGCAACATCATTTTTTGGCTTGGAGACATTGCTCAGGAGTGGGGGAAACCACAGTTGGTCCTGTCGCAGCGGGGAGGTCTGAAGCAGCAGTTCGCAGTCACATACTGGCTCCCACTGGGGATGGGCACTGCTGATAATTGCCTCTATTCTTCTTCAGAGAGGGTTGAGTCCTACCAGGACAACCAGGAGGTTTCATGAGCMTATTTTAACAGGATGCCTGCATTATTATTATAATGCCCTGCATTAGGGCCAGAGCAAATCACCAGAGCAGACAAAGTCCAAGGGCTCTGCCAGACATCTCCCAGGAAATCACTGTTTTAGCTGTGTTATTTTCCACTTGCTGTCTACTACCTGTATCAGCACGGCATTACTATCCCATACTGAAGTCAGTGTAGCCATAATCAGGCTCAGCACAACCAGTCGATCCCCCCACAGACATCTGCCAGAGCCTTCATTCACCACGTGGAGAGGCAGAGGAGGAAGCACGAAGGCTCCGTGTGYGAGCTGCCAGCCACCCACTTGCATCTGCCAAACCTTCCAGCAAGCTCCCCTCACCCAGATGAATCGTGTAGGTTTGGTCATGCCACTGAGGAGCATCACTACTTCAAATCATGAGATTGATTTAAAAATAATAAACAGTGATAAATAATAAATGTTCGCTTCTTTTTCCTCTCTCTAGGGTTTTGGAGGGAGTTTTTTGAGACTTCAGAACTCCTGTTTTCATGTTCTTCTCTATGGCTGTGATGGCTAAAAGTTTGCATTTCCTTTAGCAAAACTGTAACTCTCTCTTCATTAAAGGGCTCCAGAAGTCAGCTTAAAACTTAAATAAAGAAACAAATATCCTTGAATTTGCAATAAAACCCACCACCAGAACAGGGTACAGTGAAAGTAATTTGCTTACCTGTAAATCTCATTCTATTAAGGTGCAAGTGAAGTGGGTATAAACTGACATAAGAACAGGGTTTTTTTTTACACCCTTTAAGTAATTCATGCAACTTCAGCAGATGGTCTTTCTGCCTGCAAAAATGTTCTCTTTGCAATGTTCCTTCTTGCTTTTTCGACCGCGGACACTCGTCTCCTTCCCTTTAATGCAGAAGATTTGCAAATAGACCATAATATGGATAAAGATTCACGCTCCCCACTAAGCTCACAACTGGAGGTACAAGAGGCAGGTAATTTTAGCTTGAACACACCCCCAGCTGACTTAACCTGCGAAATGAGACTATCTACTACAGACTTACTGATTCTCATCTCTATTAGCCTGGGTATC